TACTGCTGAATGCTCAAACAAATACATATGAAATGCACAACGACACACCTAAAGTCGCTCACGCATAGGCTACATGCAAACTCTACACACACGAGATGCGCAAAACTCTCCAGGCACATACTCATTTGAGACGCGCGCGCGCACACACAACTTAAACTGGAATGTCACTGTTTCTGTCACTGCGACTTCACGAACGGGTGAACACGCGCACACACACACACATCACTTTTGAAGTAAAATTGAGGATGCAGTGCATGTAGATGCATCGAGATATCAAATTGAACTGAATCGATAACATGATAATCGTAATCGAACCGAACCGTGAGACCATTGTAGGTTCACACCCCTAATAATCTGTGCTGTGTCAGCGAGTTAATAATAATTAACAAACAAAATAAGTTATAAGTTCAATAAGTTAATACAAACAAACAAATTTGTACTTATTCCCTCACCCAATGAGAATCGATAAGAGAATCGACAAGGAATCGAATCGATAAGCAATATCGATAATGGAATCGGAATTGTTAAATTCTTATCAATTCCCATCCCTAATCAAGTGTGTCAAAATGAAAGTGAGCCAATAAGTGGTCTTCTACTGCCCTCTGCTGGTCACACAAGAGCTTTTCCATTCATATGTAGACATATGCTTACACACACACACACGGGATATGTTATTGTGAAAATCTCTTTTAATGGTGTATAAGCATGCATTTAACATATTTCTTTGTGATGTAATAATATAAAACTATATTAAAACTAATAAAAAAATAGCTTTAAGCGTTTGTTTGTTAGCCAATGCTGAAAGCTGATAAGAAAGATTAAAAATGTCGGTAACACTTTACAATAAGGTTCATTTATTAAACAGTAGTTAATGTATTAATTAACATGAACCATGAGCAATACATTTGTTACTGTTTTTGTTCATCTTTGTTAACATTAGTTAATACAAATCCAGCTGTTCATTGTTAGTTCATGTTAGTTCACAGTGCATTAACTAATGTTAACAAGATTTTAATAAAGTATTTGTAAATGTTGAAATTAACATTAACAAAGATTAACAAATGCTGAAGGAGTATTGTTCATTCTTAGTTAATGTTAACTACATTAGTTAACATTAACTAAGAATTCGTCGCGGGGGGCGTTCCCGAGCCCCGCGACGATAGATTTGGATCAAGAACCCCGAGAGAACCTTACCTAGCGTGCAGAGACTTTCTGTTTTCGAGTTATGAGTGAATTTGTCCTTGGGGGGCGTGGCCCAACGTTATACTTTCGTATTTTAGCCTTCCTGTGACACAATTGTAAATAGTAATAAATAAAATAAATAAATGCAGTCCATAATACTCCAATAGATGAATTTGGACAAAATGTGATTGTAAATGTTAAAATAATGATTTAATAAAGTCTACATTTCAATTATATATAACAATATTAGGGAGTAGTATGATGAAATGACAGCAGGGGGCAGTAAAATACCACTTATTGGCTGTTATAGCCATCCAAAATGTTACAGCCATCCAATTTACACTATTATAGCCATTCAAATGAAGAAGTTCAACCTTTTCTGATAATTATTGATGTAGAGAGTCCAGAGAATTGTACTGCACTGGTTTTAAACATTAAGATTTTATGATCATAGATGGAAAAGGCCATTTACAACCAATACAGGCAATTTACCATAGGAAATGCATGGTTTTAAAGCTTTTCAACAGTTATAGCGCCACCTATTGTCCGATCTCCATGAAACTTTGCATGCTTCTTCACCATGGTATGACACATATGCTCATCATTTTTTGTCAAGTTCTAAGTTTTTTTTTATGATTTATAGGCTTTTGTGTGTATTTGACACGCCCTTTTCTAAATGACCCTGTTATAGCCATACGAAAAATGCAAAATTTCAACTTTTTTTCAATGATTATTGATCTAGAGAGTCCAGAGAATTGCCCTAGACTGGTCTGGTTCTGATCGGGCGAAAATCCAGGGACTAGTTCGCAAAAGTAGGTTTTTAACATATTCGTGAATATTTAATGAACGATTTGATTGACAGCAATGGTTCTAGAGGCAAAGTTGTTCAGCCTGAGGAGATCTATCAAATGATATGCATATTTTGGGGATGTGTGCAACACCACGTGATTACAGAGCCATAAAACTTGTTAGCGCCAACTAGTGGCCAATTTCTTTCAAAACTCTTACAGACCTCTTGGGCCATGAGTCAAACATGCCCATCGAGTTTCGTTCCGATTGGCCTCCGTTAACCTTGTCTAATAGGTGCTCAAATTCATTGGCCGATGGCGGCCATGTTTTTTGAGTTATGCCAATTTCCTCATACACATTCATGGCACCTTGGACCAAGACACTGCATACCAATTTTCAAGTCAATCTGACTAACGGTCAGGTGGTCATAGCCCTTTATATGTTGATTTAATGTTATAGCGCCACCTAGTGTTAGATCGACGCGGTTTTTTTACTGTGACCTCAGACTGTCCTCATACACATGTCTCTTGAGATTGGTGAAGATATCTCATTTACTTCTCGAGTTATAGCCATATTAGTAAAATAGGCTCCTCCCACAACGATCATTTTACTCCCCCTAGCAACCGTGAATCGAAAATTCAACGTTTTTTCAATGATTATTGATATTCAGACTCCAGAGAACATGTATGCATTTGTCTGGTTTTGATCGGGCGAAAAACCAGGGACTAGTTCGCAAAAGTAGGTTTTTGACAAAATTCAAAATGGCGGAAAAATTTGCATACCGGAAATGAAATCGGAGATATACGTTTTGTTCTTCAGGCCTCCAGCTTTCCAATGATATAAGACACTTGAGTCTACGACATACGGTTTAGGAGTTATGAGCAGTTTCGCGCAATTGATTGCTGTAGCGCCACCTATAGGCCAATCGGGGTCATACTTTCTGAGGCTCTCCTCGATTTTTGTACTACCATCTGACAAAGTTTCAGAGCTCCAGCACTTACGGTTTGTTCTGCACGATGCGTTTTACGGCAGAAGAATAATAATAATAATAATAATAATAATAATAATAAAAATCAGTACAAATACAATAGGTTTTCAGCACTTCGTGCTTGAACACCTAAAAAAAGAAAAAAAAGAAATGCAAGTCGATACACCTCTGCGCGTTCACTCTTTCTTCTTTCCAACGGCGAATTGACACACACCTCTTCACGGTGCTTGTTTAAAGGCACGGACTGGAGCCAGCGTTTTCAATTCATTACTAGCGTGAAGCTCAACTTCCAAAATTCAGCTTTGCATTACAGGAAGTACAATTTATTATAAATTACAAGCTATTGAACGTTTCCCCTGTTTTAGGGCATGCACAACCAGATAACGATAGCACATATTGGCATGTAGTGAGGCAAGTTGCCATTAAACAGCCGTTTAAACAGTAAAACAAAAATCAAACACAATTTATGAAACATCAAAAATGTAACAAACAAAAAAAAATCGAACATTTTTGAATGAAGAAATTTGGATAAATTAATAGCATTAATTATATATAGCCTACATACATATATACAAATAAAAAATACTCTGGTCCTGAGAATAGTTTTTCCTTTTCATTAAAATCTACTTTCATTAGATAGTTGACTCTTGTCTGAATGTAGGCCGGTGCCAGTGTGGTTTTATTGTGTTCACAGTACAGCCATACCAAACATAGGATAACGTTGTAATTTTATTTTAGAGGACAGAATTGACAAACATTATTTGAATGTCTGAGGGGTTTGAAACCACCATACAAAACATGAGATTAAACTCAAATCCTGATTATAGACCTTTCCCTTATGGCTTATGGCGTGATTTATTTCACGCTTATGGGTGCAATCGGTGCAATGCAAGGATACAAATGTCAATAATCCCGATGCTGATTGGACTCTCACTCAGTTTTTGAATGACCAGATGATTATTTCATCTGTTTGTGTAGTTCTCTAGCGCCCCCTGCAGGCGAGGACTGCAATAACACATACCTGTCCTAATATATTCATCTACTTCTGGTCATCTCAGTTCATAATCCAAATATATAATTGGACCTGTAGTATTATATAAAATTGGACACTCTAGCAATTATTGCAGTGAAGTTTTATAATAAATATTTGTATAATTTTTTTATTTAGGTTTCGATACAATGACTTTTTTCACAATGTCAAATCTACTCTTTTTCAGGCAAATGAAAACAAACAAAAAGGACAACAAATAAGGAAATAAATAAAAATCGATTATACTAGACTATCATGTTTCATAGTTATAGGCCTCAAAAAAAAAATTGGGGTTCAAAAAAAGTTAGAACGCCTGTGTACTACAAGATAATGTCTATTTTCTTTTTTTCTACATACATATTTTAACATACAATTATGCTACAAATACAAAACAGTTCCTAAATAATACAAATATCAAGTACACCCACATTTCTGTTCAAGCATTCTTTTAATAAGCAAATTCGATACTGTCTCTTGACATATCAGAATGTTGCTATGCAACAAAAATAACAATCCCCATATGGGAGCAGCAGTGATGTGCTTTCCACATTATAGTGACTGGAACACTGTTGACCAATCAGAAGTCAAAACCAGAACTTGGCTTAACATTTATTTATCATTCATATTTCCTGTTTTAGATTTCTTTTCTTTTTTTTATTAAATATTCACAAATTTGATCCTCTATAACAGGGTAGCCACAGACCAAATAGTGTCTACATGTAAATGTGTATATTAACATTTTTGAAGGGTGATTTTTATAGACCGTAATAAAAATGCCTTTAAAAATGTAGGTTTTTTTTATATTAACATAATTTACACTTATATTTATCAGATGATTTTATCTGAATGACAAACAAGCAAGTCATCTTTAATCGTGGTTCAACACCACTGACAAAAGAGCACTACAGCTAATGGTGAATGAAATGTATTTCTTATTTTTTCATTTATAGTGTATTATTCTATGAAACTGAATCTCTATTAAATAACTAATGAAACCATGATAAAATCCATATAGAATCCATTTAGCATGAAACCAGTAGATTTCTTATAAAAATATCTACACGTGTATTAAATTGCATGTAATTTATTCACATATACACAAAATTCGGATTTTTATTTTAACCAGTGCATTGAGAGACGATCTATAAAATATTATGGGCGACCAACCCAACCCAAAACCTGTAACGGCACCGTCCAAACACTGTCCAAACATGTAGGGTAAAAACACTGCACACCTTAATATGCCTCTAGCTAATATATGCGTTTACAGAGTGTGAGGACACACAGATTTGTCCTTACAGCGATGTAACTGTCTCTAGTAAACTCAAAGCTCCTTCTACATGATTGGACACTGAAGGGAAAGGGGGGTGCTGGGTAATTGATTATGGAGATAGGAATGCCATCAGATGGCACCCTTTTCAACATCCACATCCTCTTCTTTCACCTATAAGATTAAAGGGACAGCAGATTAGCTGAGAAACATTAACATATTCCCTAACTTGGTGTGAAGGAATTCATAGGGCGCATCTTTTTGTTTTAAAGTGCCCCTATTATGCTTTTTCAGATATAACCTTTCATGCATGCGGTGTGTTACAATAGCTGTTTGTGAATGTAAAAGTTCTGCAAAGTGCACGATAAATGGAGTTATTGCCTCCCAAAAGAAAGAATCGATTCTGAACTGCCTGAAACGAGTTGTCAGTAATTCCAGTCTCACTTCCTGCGTGAACCTACGTAGGTTTGTAACAAATTTGCATAATGGTCTTCATTGGCTGCCTGTGAACAACGACACCATTGTTATGGTTTGTATTACTCTGCATACAAGCGCTGAGAAAGATCTGGAGCTGAAATTCAGATATGGTAATGGCTGTTACGTTTCCGACATGTGCTGTAAATGGTAGACCAATCACAACAGACTGGGCCATCTGACCAATCAGAGCAGAGCAACTCTCTGAAAGAAGGGGTTAAGAGAGACTGAATCCTTCATCAAACCATTTCAGACACTGTGAGAAAGGAGCTGATGCTGCAGTGTATATTATGAGAAAGTGAAAGTGTTTTTTTTACCTTTGATGCATGTAAACCTATAGGAGACCTCCAAAATAGCATAATAGGGGCACTTTAAGAACATGTGTTGAGAATAGTCCTTAACTGCTCACCTGCTCAACTCCTTCCACCTCGGGGACATAGAACTGCAGCATGTTCTGGATGCCACTCTTCAGCGTGACGATGGAGCTGGGACAGCTAGTGCAGGAACCCTGCAGCTTCAGCTTCACAATACCGTCCTCAAAACCATGATACAACACGTCACCGCCGTCCTCCTGCACTGTGGGCCTGAGGAAGGACATGCAGACAGAGGAAAGAAAGTTGCTGAATTAAGAACAACATTATTAGTCTTACGACTTCTGTGTAATCAAAGAAGTGTTGATTACAACATTCCATTTAGTTTATTCCTGTTGAGTCCAAATGTACTATTTAGAATGAAACGGTTCAGAATAATTACACTGACGTTCAAAAGTGAGGGGTTTGTATGATTTCTTGGTCACACTTTAGATTAAGGTCCAATTCTCAATATTAACTAACTATTAACTACAACTTTTGCATCAATAAACTCATAATTACTGTTTATTAATAGTTAGTAAGGTAGGTAGTTGTTAAGTTTAGGTATTGGGTAGGATTAGGAATGTAGAATATGGTTATGCAGATTAAGGCATTAATATGTGCTTTAGAAGTACTAATAAACAGCATATATCCTAGTAATATGCATGCTAATAAGCAACTAGTTAAAGGTGCACTATGCAGGAATTCCGTTTTTGTCAAACAGCGACCCCTAGAGTCGCTGTGGAGTACTTGTACTGCCGTGAATAGCACTCACGCGTAGATGGCTCTGCACTCACGGCCGGATCCCCTCCCCCTGTACACCGGTACCTGTTCAGTAGGATGGACGCTGTAACGAGTAGAAATAAGGTATGGCCCCTTTAAGAGCTGCACGCGCCCTGTTTAACTGTCGGCAGTCTATATTGTATGTGCGCCTCGAACACCACATGTATACGGCGCCAGGTTATTTCTGTTTGATGCTTATTTTATCAGAATTTTATCAGATCTTTTTTGCTGTAAAGCAATTCGTAACATCGCGAGACCTGATATCACACGACACTTCCCGCCGGCTCAAAGTTGCAAGTGTGTTTTTTCCGCTCACATGCGATAGGGGGGTGCGAAACGACCACCATTCAACCCGAAAAGAGTAATATAACCATTCCAATGACTCCGAAGCTGTTCGGTTGAGGTAAAAAACCTGCATAGTTCACCTTTAATAGTGAGATTGGACCCTAAACTAAAGTGTTAATGATTTTTTAGTGTTTTTGAAAGTCTTTTATGCTCACCAATAGCCTGGGAAAACCCAGACAACTTCCGGCAAATTTAAATTTGCTCTGCAAGTTAGTCTGGCGAAGAGCTCATTCATGCCCATTTCCAATCCGTCGAAATCGAGGCACCAATCAGAAACGTTGGGGCGGGCTTTACACGATGACGACAGCGCTGGGATTTTGAAGCAGATTTTGTAGCCTACATTACAAAGATGGATGCCGCCGTCGAACATCACTCGTTCGAATCAGCTATCGCGTCTGTTTTAAGCGATTTGAACGTTTCCTTTTTGTTAAAAACCGAGCAAAGAACAACACTCGGAGATGTTTCTCCGCCGCTCTGCATACGTCATCTCCTTCATCGCTCTGATTGGGTTTAGGTCTATCCGTGACGTCCGTTGGTGACGCCCCTCTGGAAATGATTTGTCTATGACGCTTTTCCAGACCATAACTCAGTTACAACTGAGAATGGTCTGGTTTTAACCAGGCTAGCTCACCAAAGCTGCATTTATAAAATATAAAGTAAAAAAAAAGACTTGTGAAATATGAGTACAATTTAAAATGTTAAACAATATAGCATGTTAAAATTGAAAACTCTTTTTGGAAATAAATGTTGTGATGTTATTTCCAACAAGAGGCGCATCAATTTATGGTCAAGATCTTGTATTGTCAATGCAAGAGTCCAGCTCTCTGAAAAGTCTCCTCCAGCACATCCCAACGACTTTCAGTGAATTCAAGATCTGGACTCAGAGGAGCCGATTCATGTGTAAAAATTATTCTCCATGATCATCCCAATCATTCTTTCACAATCTGAGCCTGATGAGTTTTGACATTGTCATCCTGGAATATGGCCATGATGTGTCTTCCTACGCGGATGTTGAAGAATTGAAAAGCTACACACTCCATCAATTAGGATTAGAAGAACTTAACCAAACATATAACATGCTAGAAACATAATAATCACTGCAATAATGATCCAATCATAGACTCGTAAGCATTTGCCTATTTAAATCCAAATAGTGTCTTTTTTTTCTTCTTTTTTTTGGCCTGGCAGTGTATTTTAGCTGAATATTGCTGCCATATAGACATAACTTTGACACACTCATCTCTGGCTGATGACTGAATACTTTCTAAATTGTAACACTGAAAAAAGCATTTTCTGTAAAGCTGCTTTGAAACAATATGTATTGTGAATAGCGCTATAAAAATAAACTTGAACTGAATTGAATTTGAAGGCTGCATTGAATATAATACCAAAAGTTAGGGGTGTAACGATACACAAACCTGACGGTTCGGTTCGTCCCACGGTTTTGAGGTCTCGGTTCGGTTCGGTTCATTTCGGTGGGGTGGGGGGGTTTAGAAAGCTAAAATTGCTTTTATTTTTTATTAAACAGTGCTTTAATGAACAAATTGTGTCCTTGTCTTTAAATTAATTCAATTACAAGTAAACGTTTCTCAAGGATAACAAAATTATCTGCTAATGCTGTAAACTACAGCCCTTACTTGCACATTACTATAACATTAAAGCTTAACAACAGAGCCTAGACGTTTAGCCTAAATGATATAATAATAATCAACACTCAAATAACAAATTGTATGAAAACATGTAAACTGCACATAAGGCAATTTTTGCATTAACATGTTTTTACTCTAATTTGTTATTGTTATATAATAATTTACACAGTTGCTGTTAATTTCATGACAACTATTTTAAACATACATTAAATAATCAAGATATCATAAACAGGTTAAGTAAAATATAATATATAGGCTAATATATAGCATTTATTTAGTGAAAGTGTTAGCAAACCAGCAAGCTGTGGACACTGCATGACTTGCCTGAGGTAAATATAAAGCTATGTGAAAAACTAAGCGTTTTATTGACGTATTTCCGCTGTTGAAACACTGATTGAGTGTTTACACGAGTTATGATGCCTTTCATAAGTATACTGTATCTTTCAACATACCTTCGAGTGTCCATTCATGTTTATTCTGTAACTGAGGAAGAGATGACCGCGCTGCCGCATGCATACAGTGATATCTGTCACGCCACATCTAAGAGCGCCAAAACGGCATTTATTGTTTGCATTTCGTGATCAAATAGACATAATTTGAAAGATTACACCTTGCTTATTATCAAAAGTAACAAAACACTGAGCTTATTGCGATTATATGTGGTTAATGGTGGTTAGGCAACAGCCCTGTATTCGTTGTGTACACATAACACATGAGGTGCAATGAGCCGGGGCTGGGCGGGGCAGCAGGGGGCGGGGCGTGTTCGGTTCGCCATGAGAGTATCGCGATACGTATCGTGGGTGGTGTATCGCGGTTTTTCGGTTCGGTTCAAATATCGTTACACCCCTAAAGTACAGAAATTTACTGTAGTACCTTATGCGTGTGTCCAGTAATTCTTTAATCATGGCCACCACCTCGTCATCATCCTCCGAAGGAGCTGCAGGAGTACGACATGTACAACATGTGTAAAGATCTTGAATTTAGTGATGATGTCAAGAGAACAAGCATGAGGAGAAAAGAAGAGAACCTGTGTCGGCACGTGGAGCATCTTCTTCGTTGACAACAGGAAGTCCAGAGGTGAAGAAGTCCATAATGGTAGCGAAGACGTCTGGTTTGAGCACCTTCCACTGCGTTTCGCCATCAGCCTGAATGAAAAAAGACATTTAATGCCTAAAAGTTCAATTAAAATAGTGTTTAACAGGGCTGGTAGTTTACCTTAGTAATGGTTATGAAGTCAGGGCCGAAGAAGACACTCTTGACTCCTTCAATTCTGAACAACTGTCTGAGGAATGAAAGATTTGTAAGCATTTTTTTGGAAGACCACACATAAAATAAAGCCAACAGCCTGACACTCAAATAGGCGTCCTGAGAAATCAGTTATCAATCATTAGTTGTGTTTGCAAACTAAAAAGTCAAGCATCAATCTTACTATTGTTCATGTGTCATTCTCAATATAATTATATCATATGATAATTATATTTATTATAACTTTTTTTTTCAGAAGCATCATATTTTCTCCATTAAGGAAAAGCACATTATAATCTCACACAAATATTTGATGCACCCTGTGTTTCTGGGTCACTGTGATTTTGCCAAGTAAGACATGTTTCTGGATCAACTTATTTTGTTGATCCTAAAACAGCATTCCTGTCTGAATATTTAGTCCCAACCCTATTCCTAACCCTAACCCTACTAACCATAAACCTAACCCTCTTACCCCTAAAATCAGAGGGAAATGATAGGTGAACAGCACTGATGTAGAAGCACCTAACCCTGATTGTAAGTCTCAACTTCTAAACTTAAACTGTAAACTGAATTAATTCTGATTGGTTGATTGGAATGTTGTTCCAGAATCAGCAAAGATCCAGGAACAGAAATTACGTACTTCTATGTTTCTGTTTGCTTGAAATAGCCTTGATGTCCCATACATTACAGTTTTTGTAGTGTTTGTTTTTTAATTGAGTGAGTTTAGTATTCAAAACAATTTATTTATTTCTCAAATCTAAATACTTCAGAAAATGTAGATATTTTTTATATTTTAAACTAGATTTTGAGTTTAAAGTCAGCATGAAAGTTGCGTTCTTCTTTTCTTAATCTTTTCTTTTCATAATCAACCACAACTTTAAATTTAATTGATCTAAATCTAAATTAAATGTATCTAAATTTAAATCAAAATTTAAAAAAAGCTAAAATGATCACAACACCATGCAACCAGCATCATATTATGTTATTTTTATATCTGCTGGGCATTTTTGAACATTATTATAAGTGTCCTTTCTTTTTTTTTCTCTTTAAAAATCTGCAATAGCTTATTGTGAAGGGTACATATTAATTGATGGGTACATTGCTATGGTTTATAAAAAAATTTTTTAATTCAACTATATTTTTTTCAATTTGAGGTTAAGAATAATTTGAGGTTAAGATCAGGAAAAGAATATATGTGTTTGGCCAGACAAGGCGTTTCAAAAGTCAATTAATGGTCAATTTGTGAACTGTTACCTGCCAACTAAGTTACTCTGCAGAGCCAATAAGACCAGAATAACAGAGTTGAGAATAAATTGTTTGGATTTGGGACACTAAACCACAACATACAATATCCTAGCATCATGGCACAAACTTTTGAACTAATTGTATAAAATAGGCCCATATGATTTACTTTATTCCTATGAAAATTAATAATATTTGCATAATTAATTATTTATAATATAATATAATAAAAACAGTGTTTTTTTATATTCTATATTCTTTACTCTCTGTCTACCAAACTGGAAAAGGAGACACATAGAAATTCTCAAAGTGCTTGAATTTCCCAAATTTGGATGGCAAATGTGACTGAAATTTAATTTGCACAATTATTGCGGTTATCTAAAACAATGGCAATTAGAACGAATAACCACGATCAGGTGATTAATCAATAATCATGACAGGCGTACCGCTGACATACTCTTTAGAAAATGATTTTTTTTTTTTTACGTGATTTTGCAATGCCATAACTGGTGAAATCACTTATATTGACTTTAGCTTGTTTACTATTAAATAATAACTTATCCTATAGATTACTATGAATCGTGATTGATAGTAAATAGCATAAGCAATTAGCACAGTCTCCAGAAAATAAAATACAGTGAAAAACCACCTTGCCAAGGGTGAACAATAAGCCTCTCTGGGTCCAGCGAAATCCATAGTCCCTGATTCCATCACCATGCGACCAGGGAGAAACTTCAGGCTGTTTGGGTTTGGAGTGTCTTGGGTCTGAATAAACATGTTTCTGACTGATGAGATGAAAGAAGCGTTATGATCCATGTCAACCAAACACTTTATCACAACGTGCAAACCTGAATATTGGTAATACTTACTAAACATAGTGGTTGTTTGCTGTGGAATCTGCCTTCTGCCCACTTTGTGAAGAGAGGGTCTGTAGAGCCCTGCTCCATGGTAACTGCACACATGATGCCTTTGAGCACAGCAAATCATCGAATTATTGATTTTTACATTTTCCTGATAAGTCTATTAACTTTTCAGATTTTTGGAGCCAAGGTGTACCGACTTTTCCCCCTTTTTTTTTACATTTTCCTGATATGCCTTACTAAAATCAACAATAACATATAAAGTTCCCTCTCAAAAATTATTATTGTAATATTATAATAGCATAACACTATTATATAATATTAGTATTGTGTGATACCATATTAATATAATATAATATATTATTGTTGTTTGGTTTTGTTGTTAATGGTAGACAGTTTATGACCAATTACTACAGTTATTGTTAGTAGAATAAAACTATGGTAACTTGCATGAGAGCAAGGTTCTACGTTTGAAGAAGATATCGTTATTTCGGCGTTTTTTATGGTTTCAGCAATTGCTGTGGTAAAAATATATTTTGATGGCGGTTATGGTCACCGTGGTAACTTAATTGTGACGAGAGCATTGAAGTAACTAGCTTTTGCACTAACTATGCCATAAGTTAGTATCGAAAAGTACAAATATATATATAACCAAAAGTGAATAACAGTGGTGGTAACAATGTGTTAACTTATGAAAATTCATGACATTATTACTCCAATAAGTACCCTGCATCTGCGTCACTCAAGTCAGACCTTGTCAGTGACACTGAAAAATATTATGAAACTCTAAACCACTCAAACGCTTCGCCCGACTCTAAGCAATCTGAAAGACATCACTTATAACTCCTCACTGACATAGGAACGTATAGTAAAAAGCGTAGTACAGTAACGACTCACGATCTCGTTAAAAGAACAGCTAAATTCCTTCCAATCCCGAATCTCCTGTAAGCGGCCATGCTCGTGAGGGGCGGGCACGTAATCTCTGTTACGTCACTTCCTGGATTTAATGCGGGGCGGAAATCAGACGGGTTTTCTGTCCGCTTATAATACTATTTGTTCAAATATAAAACATATAAAAAAATACTTTTTAAATCGATGTATATATATATATATATATATATATATATATATATATATATATATATATATATATATATATATATATATATATATATATATATATATATATATAACACATTAGCATGTCCGTAAAATCTTGTTAAAAATGTAGTTAAAAACTCTTTGAAAATTCGTTGAGATATCCATATGGTTTTATATATTTTTGCTATTGAAAATAAATAGGCTACAATTTTCAATAACAAAAATATTGCTTAGGCCATTACGTTTTCTGTCTCAGCTGCCCCAAAGATTCTTGCCACAGGAACCTGTTATTTCATTTTAAAAAAACATTCATGTTTGGTTAATAAATATTTTTTAAGGGTGTTAAAATTGCTCTGGGTAGGGTAAATCAAGCAATCAAGGAGCCGGTGCAGAAAAAAACTATACTCAACTTTTTCATCAAATGTAGCCATTTAGAAATAAATAAATAAATAACTTATATTATTTAAGTGATTCATCTATTTCAAAATGTAATGCAAAATCATGTAATTATGCATACGATTAAAAGGCAGAATATTTTAAAATAAAAATACAATTTATAAAAAGTTCAAATGGACACCTTTAAAATAAATTAAATAAATTCTAGTTCTTTTGAGTTTTATTAACTTAAATCCCTTATTATTATTATTATTATTATTATTATGTTATATATGTTTATTTGTTATTTTTAAATGTATTATATGTATAATACACGATATTAACAAAAATATAAATCAAATACAAAAATGTTATATATATACAGTATATATATATATATGATTCATATTATTTATTGTGTTTTTGTTGCATGTCTAGTGGTACTTATTTGCGTTTGTGGAGCAATAAATGAATGAATGAATGAATGAATGAATGAATGAATGAATGATGGAAAAGACAAAAAAGTATATATATATATATATATATATATATATATATATATATATATATATATATATATATATAATATATTTAATTTATTATAATAAATAATTATTCATTATTGTTGTTATTTATTATTATATTTTGTTTCATTTATATATAAATTATTATTATTCATAATAATTAATTAATTCGTTATTGAATTATAACCCATTTTATTAAAGCAGTGCAGTGTGATAAGGAGTGCAGCTGTGAAAGAAGCACTTCCCTCAGACAGCATGGCTTGACCGACAGATGTATTGTATTATCCCGAGCGAGCGAGCGAGCGAGCGGGTGTCATCAGTGCTGTGACCCGGATGTCTCCTCTCGTCTGATCCTCTTATCAGCGACAAGGGGACCGAGATGGATGTTGTTAACCAGGTAAGGCATTCAATCACAGCTATTCACCTAATAAATACTCTGCACAGGCCTCACGCTTATTCGCGTATAGGCCTAAAGGCAAACTGTTATTTGACTGACTAACATTGATTTTAACTGGACAGATAAAACGGAGTTTAAATTAATGACTTAACGTTACAGGACAAGAATACCTAGAGACGACGTCTCGTTGAGTTTCAGGGAATCTCTGTTGGATGCAACCAAATAAAACACTACAGAAAACCGGTAGCAATTCAAGACAATTCGCGTAAAATAACAATAGGGTACAAGCAGTGCATTGCGACTGTGGTATTTTATACTGTGGGTCGGGATATATATTATTTAGTATGAATGACTGAACTGCGCAACTATTTTCAAACGGGAGAGTTGTATGATTCGGCTGATCAAATAACTTAAAGTCTTTATTTTCATGTTCCCTCTTTGAGATGAGACATAAAAGGACATGAGCCGTCCACTGGTTATCTGTATTTGCGTTGATTGTCCAATTTGCGAACGAATCGTCTTTTAAACCGGTTCTTTTTAGTGATTCGAACGAACCGATTCATATAACGGTCGTAAATCATTCGACTGTCTAAGGGATAACTTTGGTAGTAAAACCGTGAGGTGGGTGACATGTTGGAACCATAAACAATCTATATAGCCTAACCCAAACTACGTTTTAAAACCCAAATCTATATAACCCAAACGTATTAAATAAAACAGTCCGAGAGAACCGATTCGCTCCAATGAATCGGACTTCAGAATACTACGTTAATTATTCAGACAGTGTCTGTCACGTATTACATTATTATACTAGAACAGGGATATCACAATCTGGATTACTATAGATGGCAAATGGTTTGCATGGGCACTAAAGAGTAAAGTGAAAAAAGGATTGTGCTATTATCTGCAGTGGGCCGCATTCACTCGCGTGCTCTCTGGCCTTATGCCCGCTGTGCGAGTCAAATAAATCGGCCTGTAGCCTGCAAATGCTCGCCAGTTGCACTTTCATAAAGGAAACGTTGAGATAAGCAGCTTTTACTAATTCTAATGCTTGCAAAGTCTCCCTCTCCTCGCATGTGCGCTCTATTGGTCGCTTTGGACGCTGCTCTGTCGTCATCACTGACGTAGGTAGGGACTTATGACTCTGTGTTCAGAAGTAATAAGCTGAAATGACTCTACATTCTACAACAGAAAGGCAGACAGACAGGTATATACTAGACACAAAGATAGATACTCTTGTGAAAAAGCAGTGTGCATAATTGTGTTGAATGAGGACAAATCAGCTGTGAAAGCTGTAAAATCAAGGAAATATACCTTATGAATTAAGCAAAAAAAAAAGAAAAAAAGTAGAATGAATAACCACGTTTGATACCACGACAAGTCAAATTGAATAACTCAAATATTTAAGTAAGCCAATTTAAAAAACAATATTTATGAGTTATGTGAACTTATTTCATGTTGTGCTCACTAATATAATACTTTTAATATAAAGCAGCAAGCAGTTAGACAGTCTTTAAGTCTTATTGCCTCTTGGCCCGTCCTCAACCTAACCATCTTGTTAAAGAAATGTAACAAAAATAATGAGAATATCTTAAAATATAATTTGTTAATCAAATATTAATTTCTTTTCGTGAAGAAAACTTAAATAATGGATGTAATTTTTAGACCAAATATACTGTTGAATTTTTGGCATTTATTTTGGTATGTCCAACTCAAACCATCACATAAGTGATATTCAGAGATTTTACTAAAGGGATAGTTCACACAAAAATGAAAATTCTGTCATCATTTACTCGCCCTCATGTTGTTCCAAACACGTAAGACATTCGTTCATCTTCAGAACACAAATGAAGATCTTTTTAATGAAATCTGAGAGATTTCTGTCCCTCCATTGACAGTCTACGCAACTACTAGAATGTAGTTTTTATTACTATATCTTAACACACTTAAATAAAGCAGGCGTGGTGGATATAATCACAGCCATATTAACTTTATTATCCAAAACCAAAACAATAATCCAGGATAACAAGAACAAACGCAGCATCTTTTTAAACAGTGGTTAAGCTGGACAAAAACTAGAACCAAACTGAGAGTTTAAATACAAAGGATATAATGAGGAGGGGCAGGTAAACATAATTGGTTACCATGGTAACACTTGAGTGGTAGGAAACATAGGGAACAAAGGAAACAAGAACAAAAACACAGGAAACAATGAAAACCAACATAAACCTAACAAACTGATTGCATTTAATATTATTTTAAACTATAAAACATTTACATTTAATTGCAATCGCAATTACATTCGTTCCTGTTTACACCTGGTATTAAGATGGGTTTTGGCCAATCGTATCACAAGTAGACGAGGGAGACACATTCCCGTTTACACCTGGTGTTTTAATCCGTCCACTTTCAAACACTTCTATCTGATGTCTTAGAGGGGAGGCTCTATGGGCGGGTGAATGAAAATGAATGGGTTTATTCAGATCTTTTGATCTAATGGACAAAATAGCCCGTCTGGCTAGCGCGCTTCCCATAATGAATGCATTAAGTCAGTAGGCGGAGAGAAGACGGTCTATTGTGGCTGTTCGAACACATTCGACCACATGAGCGTTTACATTACGAAAGCAATCCGGTCGAATGCGTTTTCGACTACCTCTGGAAGTGGTTTTTAGAAACCGTTTACTCCTGTATTTAGGGTCGTCAACTTGTGATGGGATTGACCAAAACTCATCTTAATACCAGTTGTAAACTGGGCCTCAGTTTGCTATTATATCCATAATAGGTTCTCCTAAAAGTATGCCAAGTTGTACTTCTTTTTCACATATCAGGTTTGATGGTCTTTATAGCAGTAGTTTTTGCATTGACATTATCTGTTGTTTATTTGTTTTTCAGTTGGTCGCCACAGGGCAGTTCACAATCATCAAGCAGCCATTAGGATTCATTAAAATCTTACAATGGGTGAGTAACTATAGTTCATGCAGTGTGTTGTTTTTATCTTGCAATCCATAACTCCTTTTCTTTCCTCTTTCCTTCATATTATTTCCTTCTAAAAACTGTAATCTCTTTAAATATGTGGGGTTGCAACTTTTAAAACTGTATTTTACCAAAAGCACTGGTATTTCCTACAGCCAGTGCGAATCTAGTTCAGTTTCTCTTAATTATAGCTGGCAGTAAACACAACACACACACACACACACACATGGTATTGTGCACAGCTTGTGTGGGTGGCTGTGAACAGTCACTGCTGTTGCTTACATAATGAGAGGAGCCTGACGGTATAGTTTACAAGACAAGTGATGGTAAATCAAGACTGTCATTTACAAATCTTTAGATTCTAAGAGTTCAAGTGCCCCAGTATCTTTAGAAAATGTATTTGCAAATATGTGTGTTTTTGTGCATGTTTAAAGTTGTAAAATAGATTTGTAGGTAGATAGGTGTAAGCAGGGCTTGACATGAACTGTTTTGCTCAGCAGCCACTGTGGCTATAGTGGTTTTCGAAAGTTACAAGCCACTCAGCATTTTCACTAGCCACAATTCTGACATCGATACCATGGGAAAAAACTGCCATATAGATCTTTTTAATATTATCTCATAATTTGGCAGCAGGTTTATCAGGCTGATGTCACTTTAAGACCTGACGCACGGATCCATTACACGTGCGTTTTCTTTCTCAACTGTTTACATTCACTTAATACATAACTGACTGTTTACATGAATACTCGCCAAGTCTGGCATTTTGATATTATTTTGTGTGTATTTGTCTGTTTAAGCAGGGAAAAAGAACTCAATTTAGTGCTGAGAGGCGGCTTTATGTGCGCGCACTTTGGGTGTGAGAACAAAATCTGTGGGAATAAGTCAAATTATGCACAATCCCATGCTGAAATTCAAGCCCTGTTACACCAACAATATTCATCTGGAGTAAATGAAAGGAGTGAGTGAGGAGAGCCGGGTTTGTGTGTCACTCGCTGTCGGAGAAATTTTTAACAACACTACATTGCACTTAGTTTATTATTTCAGATGCCTTTTTAAAAGACTACAATTGAAAAATGTATTCTATATACAATTCAACCCTCCAAAGTGGCCAGTAGTGACTGCGTTACACGCCACTGCTGAAATACACCCACATTTCGAGGTTTGACGGTTGTTAATGTCAAGCCCTGTGTGTAAGTATTGAGATATTGTTTATTTTATTAATTATTTTAAAATCGTAGATTTTACTGAGAGAACATTTTTATTATATATAGTATGATATGAAATTGTGATAGTAAGTTACAGTATGTAAGTTATTGTGCTTCAGTGCAACGGTAAATTTCTTCTGAAATGTTTCCATTTAAGAAATAAAACAGTAGTCACTTTATGGGTCCTTTTGAAAAATAAGAGACATTGATATTGTAATGTTGAGGCAGGAGTGAAGCGGAGAGAATCCAAGTGCAAGCATTAATTTAATAAATAGGTAATCCAGGGCAAAACAACAGAACATGAACTCAGGACAGAACAAGAAACAGCTACAAACAATAACGACCGACAACCAACAACTGAAGCACAGAGGTTTGAATACACAGACAAACAAGCTTAACAACATAACAAGGGGGCGGGGCTAATTAGAAACACCTGGAGAGACTAATAAACAAGAAAAACTACAAAGGACTACAAAACTGTGCCATGGCACAGAACAGGAAATAACAAAAGTTCACACAAGACAAGGAAAACACAAGACAGGAATCATGACAGATATCTAATCTGTCACATCTGTAGATTTAACAGCCTGCGCTTTGGTTAAATGTGATATGTCATGAATTTGTGCCCATTTCTGTCTAATTTTCTCTTTAAAGCTTGCTCTAATTAATTGCTCAGAATTAGAGAGAAGTGTATAGTCACTGGGCCGGAGCTGGCCTGCATCCTCAGTTAACATATGGTCTCAGTTCTTCTCCAGCAAAAAAAGAAAAAGGCCAATATTTAGTGGATGTTATGATGCCTTTATTGCACAAATACATTTACTTGCTATTAAAAACGTAAATCCCATTTGCCAGGCGCTGTGTAGGCTGTAGTGCACGATCACAAAGGATAACAAAAGGAGTCTTTAATATTAGATTCCACTAGGAACATTTTGTCCCATTGCCAAAAAATCCAGGTCTGAACCCAGGTTTGGAACGAAATAAAAAATTAAACTTGAAGTCACATAATTCCTTATGACTTTCTTTCACCATTCTTCATTCATTTATTCCATAATAGTTGAAAATCCTTAAGGAATGCCTACAAGAAATTTGAAACCCATCCTAAATGGCAATTATCTTACAGCAATTAATTCAATTCAATTCACATTTATCGCATAGCGCTTTTTATACATATCGTTTTAAAGCAGCTTTACAGAAAATGCACATGTCTACATTACAATTAAGAGTGATCTGTTATCAGAGAAGTTATATATTTCAGAAATGTACACACAGTTAGCTAACAATGTATTAATTTAAGGCAGAAACAATGAGCTTGTTAAAGTAAAGAATACATGTTGGTAACAAATGATTAGGATCTATAGAAAATTTTAAATCTACAGCATCACAAAGCAAAAGCCTAGATGGGAACACATAATTCCCAACCGGACCAGCAGGATAAAATGCTGCCGTTTCAAAAGGAATTGAAAGAAAATGTGTGGGGATTTTAAAACTCTTAAAACTCCCTCTGGGATTTCCTTGAGCAGATCCGCAAGACATTATTCCAATACAACCCAAGCAGCTTTCTGTTAAAGATTACACAATATCCAGTAGGATTCTAGGAATCAAATAAGATCCTGCTGGATCTTAAATTCCTATCGGATGTTTTGATTCGTTTGATTTTTGGAATTTACGAGTTATTTTCAACATCCGTCAAGCTAAAGTAGCCCTGACTTTATTAAAGTAAAAGTGTTTTTTTTTACTTTCTGTTGTATTTTTGTATCTTTCTGATTATCTGCCATGTTGCCTTCTCACGAATATAATCACTCAGTGCAAGTAATAACCCATTTCCTGAGACACAATGAAGTTTTGTGTTTATTTGATCTGGTTGTCCCATAATACATCAGTAACTATATGTGTGCTGAGCTTCACAAGCTGCCTAGAAAATGTAGGGACATTTACCGTATGCTGCATTGCAATTAAAAATGCACAGGGTCAATACTAAAAAATATTGTTCAAATTTGGTCAATGTAATTTAAAAATTGAGCAAGTGACCAAACGTATGATTGTGATTGAAATAATAACAGTGGTTGTTTCAATGTTGACAAAAATGTTCAAACAACATTTAACGAGGAACGGTTAAGGTTAAACAAAACACTAATAAATCAATGGTAACATTTTAACTCTCATATGTTGAAAGTAAAGTGTTGAAACATCGCATTTTTCAATTTGATTTGAAAAGTAAAAACGTGCATTCGATCTTTATCCATGTTGCTGATAAATTTTGGATATAGTTCAACTAAGAATTCTGTCATTGTTTACTCGCCCTCATGTCGTTCCAAACTTGTGTGAATTTCTTGATTCTGCAAAACACAGAAGAAGATATTAAAAAACTGTGGGGGTTTTTGTCCATACAGTCCAGGTCAATGGGGACCAATGTTGTGTTCTTTAATGCTTATTAGTGTCACGCCATTAGCTTAGCAACATGCTAATACCAAACTCCACTGAAATAAACGGAGGGCTATTTGTGGCACGCAGAGATGCTGCCTTTGGAGAGCGTTCCTAATCGTCACTTATTCAATGGTGGCTAGGAGGCAGCTAGGCAGCTCACTGTGTTTTGGAACAGAGCTTATTTGTGTGTATGTGTGTAAATGTGCGTGTGTAGAGTGATGTGTAGTAGATCAGCACAGTGTGTGTAGTGACAGATGGTAAAGCACCTCAGTGAGATTAATAGCCGGATTTTCTATTCAATCGGATCTTCCTGCAGTGAAGGGAGGGTGTGGTAAAAATACTCTGACTAACTAATCTGTGTTTGTGTGTGTGTGTGTGTGTGTGTGTGTGTGTGTGTGTGTTTGTTTGTTTGTTTGTTTGTGTGTGTGTGTGTGTGTGTGTGTGTGTGTGTGTGTGTGTGTGTGTGTGTGTGTGTGTGTGTGTGTGTGTGTGTGTGTGTGTGTGTGTGTGTGTGTGTGTGTGTGTGTGTGTGTGTGTGTGTGTGTGTGTGTGTGTGTGTGTGTATGTGTGTGAGCATGTGCCTGCATCATTGTGACACCAGTGCTAGTAGGTGTTATTGTGTTAATTGTGATAATTTGTTAACGCCTCTTGTTTGTCACCTCAAGTTTCCATGACAACAGGTGCAACAGTGACCTGGATGCAGCTGCATTTCTTTGAACTGTGTATGCTTGTGTCAGCAGCGATTGGGTTAGCAGATATTGTATTTTATATTTTATATTGTGTGTTATACAACAGATGGTGAATTAACACATAATTATATTTCAAATTACATTTGATATGAAACTCCCATATTTTTATTGACATTATTAAGTGAAATGTCTGAAACCATGTTTTTTATTTAAATGTTTTTACCTTCATGTGATGGTAAACAACACTATTCAAAAATTGGGTTCTGTAAGAAATGAATACTTTTATTCAGCAAGGATGTATTCATTTGATCAAAAGTGACAAAGATATTTATATTGCTATATATTTATATTGTCAGAAATGTTTCTTGAGCAACAAATCAGCATATTAGAATGATTTCTGAAGGATCATGTGACACTTTTAAAATATATTCAAACAGTAAACAGGTCTTTTAATTTGTAGTAATATTTTGTAGTCTACATATTTGCATATTACTGTGATGTCTTTTAATATGATCAAAAAAGCTTTTCCTAACCAGTTCGCACTGTGCTATAGGCTAAACTATATTGCGTGACACTAGAATTATAGTTAAAAGCTCATATCCGGCCTGGAATAGAGTTTGGTTTATGGTTAATGGTTAGGGTTAGGGTTTGGAGACACCATTTTGGAAATAAATGTAGTAGCCTTGATCTGCCAGTCGTGGGTCTTTCATTCAGAGACTCGCCCATTGTGTTTGCAATTGCAATGATGCATTTAAAAGTCAATGACCAAATGTAGTATCTATACAAAAGTTCACAATCCTGTTGCAGATGAACTATAATGTGGATAACATTGAATAAATATATTTTCGTCAAGTTAGACAGTGATTATTAATCACTCAGATCACCCCTTTATCTAAACCTCTTAACCTTGGGACTCACACATCCGCCATGTTTGTAGTTTTTAATAATTTTCATGTGTTTGTAGTTCTAATTGAATCCTTGTCCAACACGCAATGGGTTTGTTGGCAATATTAGCTGTTAGAGGTTGCACGGATCTGCCATCCGAGTATCTTTTATCAACATTTCAACATACTACGATTTGGGACACACACTAATTCTAATTTTGAATACTATTTAGGACGGACACTATGCGAATTGGGACACAGCAAATTAAGTACTTATGAGAGAGTCATTGAATCATTAATTCAAACTATTTTTTTTTATATATATATATAATGCATTCAGATTCATTAAACATGTTAAATAGATTGCACCAATTACCATTTTGACAAAACCTCCAGTAAATTACATGTTATTTTGTTTAGTTGTCTGCTCAGAATCACGGGAGAAATTATGATCTCTTTTTAAAAACAAAAAAAAATTGTGATTCTCAATTTATCCAGAATTGTGCACCTCTAGCTGACAGGAAAAAACAAGTCTATTTATGCTAATATAAAAAATGTTTACGATTTATTTGTTGGAAAATAGGATATTTATTATATAGATTGTACGTTGTATATGGGCGTTTTCAGTACACCCGTTTCATGCTAATTGCTATTCTTCACTTACACATACACACTTATTTATTATAACAACTGACTCTTTCTTTCTCCTTCTCAGTTCTTCGCCATCTTTGCGTTCTCCACCTGTGGCGGTTACTCTGGAGTGTTTCGTCTGAGCGTGGAGTGTAAGAACCGCACAGAAAGTGACCTGAACATTGAGGTTGAGTTTGAGTACCCGTTCAGGTCAGTGTTCCACTGCCATTCCTGCCATATCAGATCACAGTATGATATGCATATCGTATCCTCAATACATATCCTCAATACATATCGACAGAGTTCCATTCTTTAATTGATGTGTTTGATTCACCTAGTTGTAAAGAAAGATTATATCATTTCATTTTTATAGTTTTTTTCTCTATTTTTTAATGCAATGCTTTTGGAGATTTTTTTATTTATTTATTTACCTGTAAATTACTAGATTTTATCATTAATTTAATTTAATAATATAATTTAAGCACATTCTTTCCCTTAAATACAAAATAACCAGTCCCTCCAGAAAAACGCGATTATGCGATCGCTGAATTCAATGCATAATCAGCCAAAGTCCCCATATTTATGCAGGGGTCGCATTTTTTCAAATACTCCACAATTTCGCCGCATAAATTGCTGATTTTTGCGCAAAATATGCGGTGCTTGCTTGATTTCATAATCCCCGCATTTTCGTCGCAAAAAAGTCACATATATCTTAGCAGAAAGTTGGAAAATGTTGCGTTTGCTTCACACAAGAGCAGCCGTTTCCTCCTGTTGCCATGGGAAAGTTGTGAAGTGACGTAATTACGCGACGTGAACATCATCGAAAAGCTGTAAAACAGGAGCACACTTTATTTTTAAATATTTAATTTATTAATTTTTACTGAAGTTGTAGCATATTGCTCTAGTGAAGCTACAGAACTTGTTTGACTCATCAATGTTTTGTAAGTTTGATGTGTTTATTAAGGTCTTGTAACGCGTTGTGTCGGGAAGAAAAATAGGGATAGCTCACAGCTAAAGTTATTGCAGAGGCCAGACAGACTCACGGAGGCGATTGGCATCTCACAACTCGCACTTTATTCCCAAATCGAACTCGTATAACTGTCTGTTACACGTTCTACCGTCCACATCGTTACTTAATAAACAAAATAAGATAAAAGAAGCAGCATCCAACAGAAATTACCCGCACACACATGGGGTGTTCGAGGCGCATGGCACATACAATATAATAACGTTACTGCAGACAGTTCAACAGGGAGCGCGCAGCTCTTAAAGGGGCCACACCTTATTTCCACTCGTTACAGTCTGAAATAAAACAAGATGAGAAATTAAATATTTCCAGCACTTTCTGTGATGTAGTATGCCTGCTTATCATAGGAAGTAATAAGAAATGACTCTTTACATTAAGGTAGTAGCCTAGTGAGAACAGGGTGTTGGGGGAATCACTTTTCTTTTCCCTTTTTCATCAAACCGCAGTTTTTGCAAGTTCCCGCAATTTTTGCAAGTTCCCGCAATTTTATCGCATAAAATTGCATAAATATCCCGCATATTCCATCGCATTTTTAAAGAAAATGGGCCGCATAATCAAGGATTTTTGCCCGCAACAATCACAAAAAAAACCCGTGTTTTTCTGGAAGAACTGAATAATGCTTCATTACATGCAAAAACTTGTTAAAACAGCTCAAAAAGTCTCATATTGGGTGTCTTTGCTGACCTCTTGTGCAAAGAAATATAATTATTGCCACTAGATGGCCTTATTGCTCTCTATGGAGCAAATTAACTGTTCCCCTGGGTCCTAAAGTCAGTTTCTCTTATAATATTAACATTTTTACCATTTATTTTGCATTTGTGTGCGTGTTCTGCATTGTAAATGTGTTCAAATTTAACCACGGGATTGTGCCATTCTTTATGTGATTTTTTGATAAATAATAAAGAAAATTCCCCATTTCCCATTCATTCCTTTGGGGGTCAAATTGACCCAAGAGGGAAGGATTTGTTTTTATTACAACCACATATACTCCTCGAATCCAGTAAAAAAATTGTGTGTGTTCCAAGTCCAAGTGCGACAAAAGTCCTACGGTCTTAGACCACTCCAATGAACACTACATTTTTATTACAACCTGCCATAGTCTAGTTTTATTTTGTGTGAAACGCGTCGAGATCCACCAATAGCAAACCTCAACCACCCAACAATCCAATTAATTCATAATGGACAAAATCAAGTCCCGCACTACATTTTTTCTTCTTCAAGAAACCGTTTCACTCGGATATACAATAGGAAAGAAAAGACTATCGCAACCTTCGTTTTAAATACCCGACTAAAATCCATGGGTGATAGGGCCTTCTCGTCGAATGCTCCAAAACTTTGGAATTCCCTGCCTATTGAGATTAGGCAAGCCAAATCTCTTAGTGTTTTTAAAACATCACTTAAAACTTATTTGTTTAGGGTAGCTTTTACATAATTGTTTATAATTGTCTTATTATTATTATTAATCCTATATTTTCATAATGTTTTTTTTTTTGTATTTTATTACGTTTTTCTGTCAGAAATGCATAGTTTGTTTAATTGTATGTTTTATGTTTTTATTCTTGTGAAGCGCTTTGAGATACTTTTTAAAGGCGCTATATAAAATAAAGTTTATTATTATTATTATTATTATTATTCGTTTTACACCGACTTTAAATAATGTCTATAGGGGCTTTCGCATCGGAGATACCTTTTCATAGTTCCCAGAACTAATGGTGGAAGTACCTGCTTTTTGGCGTTTTCGCACCGCAGGAACTGTGAATGATTTTAGTTCTAGGAACGCCTTTTGGGGGAACTAATTTAGCTCCTACTTCAGAGTAGGGACTAAACCAGCACTATAGGAACTACCAGTGACGTTAGTGTACGCTGATTGGCCGAACACACGCGAAACACCAGCACCCGCCATTTTAAAAAAAGCTGTGTAAACACACACAGATTATAGCCTATATATTTACTCCACAAACTAACTCTACGAACATGGAAAACAGTGATAGATGGACCTCTTAACCTTTACGCTAAGGATAAAATTCAACGCAACTTTGAGGGGACCAAGCGAAACATGAATGTATTTCTCCTCAGATAGCGACATGGGGCATTAACCACACGGCAAACGCTAATACTTAGATAGGATTTTTAAACAGATCAAAATAAAAGTCACACCAACAAGCATGGCTTACGTCACTTGAGAGTTTCTACTGCCGATGTGAATGCAACAAAGAAAATGGCCCTAGGGGAACCGAACATTTATTTCTCAGGGAACCACGGTGGCTAGTTCCTAGTTCCTACATCTACCGTATTTTCCGCAATATAAGGCGCACTTAAAAGGCTTTAATTTTCTCAAAAAACGACAGTGCGCCTTATAATCCGGAGCGCCTTATATATGGATCAATTGGTTAGTTGGATCAATTGGTTAATAACGCTCCGCGTTATTAAATTCGCCCGCGAACTCGCCCTCGTGTCCATCTTATGCCCGCTCTGTCACACGGCCAGTTCAACCTCGTATAAATCAGGTTATGTGTGTAAGTCACGTGCCCGCTCACGAGCGCTCACTCTTACTAACAGACACACTGTCCCTGGCGCTGCTCGCGCATCACAGAATGTTCATAAAGCGCTCCCCGTTCACAGTAACCGGGTCGTCTCATTCAAAACAGCCAGCTGTTGCTGTCAGCGAGCCGCCGCACATGAATACTCATATGAGTCAGGCTGCGAATGTAAGTTACGTGCCCGCCCCAGCGCGCTCACGCTTACTAATAAACGCCTCGCCTCCGGCGCCGCGCACTCGCTACATTCCCTTTAGCACATCTAGTGGATGCATAACGCAAACCCAGTCAAACGTTTGACTGCAGTATCGTATGTGCCTTATAATCCGGTGCGCCCTATATATGAAAAATGTTCTAAAATAGGTCATTCATTGAAGGTGCGCCTTATAATCCTTAAAAAAAATATATATAAGAAAATACGGTAAGTTCCTAGAACTACCCAGTGCGAAAGGGGCTTATGATTACATAGGAGAACCTTTTAAATTGTTTCACGTGAATGCGCACACACTCTCACACATTGGTCAAGCGATTTAAACTTCTGACAGACATTTACCAAGTGTCTTTCTCCACAGACTGCACCAGGTATGGTTTGATGCTCCTTCATGTAAAGGACCGGAACCTGAACGTCTCTTTCTGGTGGGAGACAACTCTTCCTCTGCTGAGTTCTTTGTCACCATTGGTGTCTTTTCCTTCCTTTATACAATGGCAGCCATGTCCGTGTACATCTTCCTCCTGGAGAAGTACCACGAGGGAAACAAAGGAGCTCAGGCTGTGAGTCTTCTTGCAGTCTCTTTCTTGTGAAAATTGAAATTTCAGCTGGTATACATTTTCTTTGAGCATAATCAGCATAAAACTGAATGACTTAAATGAGAGAAGAAAAAAACAAACAAAACCCTGCAAATTAGGTTCATTGGCAAAATTTGCAGACTTTCAGCTGTTTGCAATGAACAAATCAAACAAAAGTAAATAGCTCAGCACAACAAATCAGCACAAAAAAGGCTACCAAGCCTTGGTAGAATTTGAGGTATGATTTGGATCATTGTCCTGATGGAAGGTCCAATAACGCTCAAGCTTCAGCTTCCTCACTGCCGGCATGGCGTTTTCTCCCAGGATTTCCTGATACTTCAATGAATCCATCTTGCCTTCCACACGCTGCATGTTTCCAGTGCCAGAGGATGCAAAGCAGCTCCAGAGCATCACCGTGCCACAACATGCTCAACTGTAGAGAGTGTTATTTTCAGTATATGCTGCAATATATATTCTTCTTCCTGCAGACATACTGCTGATCCATAGGGCTGAAGAGTTCTAAGGCTTATTTAAATTATTTTGAGCACTTTTCTTGTTCTTTTGGGTCAGTAGTGGTGTACGTTCATATATTTAATGTGTTCTAGCTCAAGCACACCTGGTGCAAGTAATGAAGCCCTTGATTAGTTGCATCAGGAGTGCTTGAGACAACATCTGTTTTGCAGAGTTGTGCTGTTGTGAGGGGTTCTATTCAGGTGGATGAATCATTTTGAGACTGCAGAAGTCATTAAAAGTTGCATTTTCAGTTGAAAGTTCAATTACTTTTGTTTGATTTGTTCATTGCAAACAGCTGAAAGTACATTTTGCCAATAAACCTGATTTGCAATGGGGGTTGAATGATTTTGATAACAACTGTATATCTTTCTTAATGTTAGTTTATAAAAATACAACTGTTCTTTGTTAATGTTAACAGATACAACTTTTGATTTTAATAGTGTTTCAGTAAATGTTGAAATTAACATTAACTAAGATTAACAAAATGCTCTTAGGCCCATTCAAGACTATAACGATAAGGATAAAGATTATGGGTCTCATTCACTAAGCATGCATACTCACAAATTTGTGTGTGAAATCTGTGTGTGAACAATTTCACGAACAAATCATGATTCTCCAAAAATGTTCGTACTAAAATTAATGAAAGATGTAGGAACAACTGAAACCACACGTACTTTAAAAAAAAGCACGTTCTCTCTCCGGCCTTATAACTGTGTTAACAAGTTATATTTCATCTTAACACCACTATAATTATATTATTAATAAATAATGCCATTTAATTTCATCTTAAATACATTTCATCATATACCATGAAAGAGTTAGAAAAGCTGCGTTATAGCTTTAGCTGCGAGGTTTCTCTGAATAACACAGATATATGCGAATGTACAGCTGGCTAATGAGAGCTCTGTAATCTTGGTCTGTATAAAAGGTGTTTATTGTGTTTGAACTGGTTATGAGAATTACACACTTGGCATTGCTCGAGGATCTGGCAAGAGCGCGTCTACAGAGAGCGCCATATGTTTGACGAGAGTGACGAAAGGCTGTAAAGGAAAGGTTGTGCGGAACGCCCTTTTTTGGAGATAGTATGGGCGTGTTTTATGCTAATGACTAACCTTGTGCACAAGGCTGCTCATTTAGAATACTCAAAATTTGCTAACATTATAACGAGATTAAAAATAAATGTATGTGCGTACGCATATGTTGGGAATTAGGCACAGATTTTTTCGTGAGAAGTTTTCCTGTGTTTTAAAAAATACGTAATAATCCATGCAATTATTAGTAAATGAGACCAATTGTTTTGAATTGTTCTAAATCTAAAAGTATCAGTATCAGCCATTCAGAATCTATCCTGCTTTAACTTCTTAACCCGCATCGGCCCGCGAGCGGGCCGTCGAGGGCGTGGCTATACTTTTATTACCTTTTTTAAGCTTTGTTTTATAACAAATATTCATCTGACTATCATAAACTATGCATCATTTGAAAGCTAAAACACTCAAGAACCATGTTCTAGACTTGTTTTTGCAATCAATACACCAGAGAGGAAAGGGTTAAATAAAATGCAAAAGGACTGCTCATTTGAAAATGAGCAAAATGAACCGCTATACTCATCTTTCATCTCGTATGGTTCAGATCAGTTCGGAAGAATCCAAGAAACAACAGCATACATTTCAATGTAAGGGTCCACTCTTCAAAATGCATCCCACTTTTTAATCCAAAACAACGAAAAATAGGGGAAAAAAATGAAATATCCTCCTTTGTTTTCATGAGCGTTTTCGAGATAGAGTTCGCATCATGTTCATTTTCAAAGAAATATCGATTCTAATCCATATTCCAACACTCAAAAGCCATCTCACCCCCGCAGTTTAGACTCTTCCGGATCGAATGATACATCCTATTTCTCTCTTGTTCAATCACAGGCTCTGTTACAGACCAAAACAGTAAGAGAGTCCCTGACAGGCTGAGCGCGCTGTCCATCGCGCAGCTGGGCTTTCGACTGGATAAAAGCCTGGATAATGCTATCCAATGTCCTTTGAGCTACGTTTTGATTGATGGGAGTATTAGCCAACTAAAATCGATTGCAGTGATAGACAGTTCATGCAAGCACATTCGTCAAATTCAACTGCGCAAAGTTTTCATTCACATGTGCGCTTTCGCCACGCGCGCAGCACGCACACATAGTTAGCCGACCAGAATGTAAACAGACACATAAACGCGATGTTTTGACACATGGAGCTTGCATAAATGCACGGATTTACTCTAAAGCTTATATCTGAGCATCTGTATCATGGATCGTCGACTACAGAAGAGATTTGAAGGTTTTTTTGCAGAAAATGACGAAGAGCAACAGGAAGTAATAGGATATTCATTATAAGTATCAGTTTATTGCAATTTATTTGGGTAAAAACCACGTTTGTAATTACAAATGTTCTAAAACATTTATGTTTTTCTTTTTATATATTTTATACATTAGTTGGAAAATGAACACTTCTGCAATGTCTATACATGTAGTGAGAAATCACTGTTTTTGCTATTAGAATTGTTCAAAATAAAGATAATTTTGGTAAAATGTTCAAATGTTGTGCTGAAATCGTTTTTTTCTTGTGTGGTTTGAAGGGCATAACAGTTCTGAATTGTTGTTGCAGACCTATAGTGTTTACTCCCTATGTAAAGTGTTTGGGTGCCAGGTGTCCATTTGGAGTCTCCAAATTGCATTTTGGAAAGGACGCCTATACTTTTCTTGAATAAAAGCTTACAGAAACTACATTTTTGGGAGTATCATCCTCAAATTTGAATCTAAACATGGTCAGACATTCAATTTTATCTTTATGGTGTTTTCAGGCCCTTAACATAAAAGTCTGATCATTTTTTCCCTAAGTGAAGTTAATTAAAAGAAATCGTGAGTCACATTCATGTAAATTTTACCTTGTTTTACTCTGTTCCTATGCTACTTTGAGTAATAATGACTCTTGGGTAACAAAGTTTCAAGTGTCTAGTTTAAAAAAAGATCAGAGTTATGAATGTGGACCATAGGGTTTAAGAGCTACAGACATTTGTATTTGGGTATGTCATTTTCAGAAAATTCTCAAAAAATGGGGCGCTGGTTAAGAGGTTAAAGAGCATGTGCATTTAAGGCGAAAGATGATAAAACTTCAGCATGCTTATAATAAACAGAACGTTAACCTGCGTGGGCGTGGACGCTAATATAGTTTATATAGTAATAGTATTTGTAATTTATTTTAGTTCACGACACGTTAATATAGTAAACTAATGTTAACAAATGTAAAAAGTGTTACCAACAATTTTAATAACCTATGATTTTGTTAACCCTTGTTGTATGTTTTGTTAACCGTGTTACATTCATAATATAATGTTGCAACACTGAAGATCAGTGGAAAGTGTCTAACATGCCTTAACTAACAAATCTGTTTGGATCATAAAGTCTATCCCTTTAAATATTAAAGATTTTAAAGGGGGAAATGTCACTGCATTATAGTGTGGCAGTAAACGCATAATATTTAATTTTTAAATATCATATAACCCATTCAAATATAATGGTGATTAGTATTCCAATGACATTTTTTTTTAAATAATTTGTTTGTGTTTTCTACAGGATTTTGTGGTGACAGCTATTTTTACCTTCATGTGGTTGGTAAGTTCAGCGGCGTGGGCCAAAGGTCTCTCGGATGTTAAGAGGGCAACTGACCCCGATGAGGTCATCAACCTCATCGATGCATGTGATCGTGAGGAAAACCGCTGCAAAGAAATCCATGAGCCTGTGGTTTCCGGCCTAAACACATCTGTGGTGGGTACAGTCACTATAAATAATGTTATTATGCGTATGTATTAAATGTATTTCTAGAATTTTATAATGACACGTGGGCCGGTGAGAAAGGTTGGACATTATGTTAATAAGCAATGACAAAATGATGTTACTCCTGTAAAATACTGTAGTCGAGCATTGATAATCAATCATTATGCTCCATTATACTCTGTTATATACAAACTCAGCCGGCAAGTGACCAACCTTCAATGTTGAAATGTGGGTAAATAATGTTATACATGTTTCAACATTTAAAGTACCCCTATTATGCTTTTTCAGTTATGACCTTTCATGTAGTGTGTGATATAACTGTTTATGAATGTAAAAGCTCTGCAAAGCTCAAAGTGCATGATAAATGGTCTGGGTTATTGTCCCCCAAAAGAAAGAACTGATTTTGAACTGCCTCAAACGAGTCGTCAGTAATTCCAATCTTACTTTCTGCAAGTGCCTCCGAAGCTTAAATGAATATATGGTAATGGGTGTTTTGTTTCCAAGGCGCTAAAAGTGGTAGACCTTCTGACCAATCAGAGTAGAGCAGGCTCTTGGACAGTTTTAGAGAAACCTTTATCAAACCGTGAGAAAAGAGGTAATTCTGCAATGTATATTTATAAATTAAAGTGTTTTTTTTTTTTTTTTTTTTGTAGATGCATGTAAATCTATTGGAGGATACCTCCAAAACAAAATTAGGAAACTTTAAAATAGCATAATAGGGGCACTTTAATGCTAAATAAAGGCAAAATATTTACCTGTACAAATCAACAATGACATTTTAATTCACCCATGTTAAAAATATCAACGTTGATCCATGTTTTGAACAATCATCTAAATTGTTTTCATTACTTGAAAAAAAAAAAAGAAATAAAATATATACATATATATATATATATATATATATATATATAGTTACGGTACACGGTGGTAGGAAGCACGAGGAGACGAAGAATAGAAGTAAACAGGATTTAATTCCAAACTCAGGACAACACTGTAACTTTACACACCAAACACAAACGAGAACGGACCAGGAATGAGGGAGAACGCAGGGTTTACATACACAGAGAACAGATAGGTGAAACAAGATACAGCTGGGGCAAATGAACAGATAATGACAGAATAACAGGTGAATAAACTAAACACTAACGAGGAGCGGGAAACTGGAAACAGGACTGAACCATATATATATATATATATTAGATAAAAAAAATAAAAATAAAAACTTAATGTAGATTTTGCGTAGGCAACTAACTGAAAATAAACCAAGATTAGTTTCAACTTCCAGTGATAAAAATCAGTATGTATGCTTAGTCTAATGAAACTGGCAGTATTTTCATCAGGTAAAACAGGGTGTAGATGTTTTTGGGCATACAAATGAATGCAAACAGTACGTGCAAGTAACCATTTGGCTGGTTTCTCTTATACCTGCAGGCGTTTGGGTTCTGTAATGTGGTGCTATGGGCAGGGAACCTGTGGTTCGTCTTTAAGGAAACCGGTTGGCTTACAGCCTTTGCTGGCACTTACGCAGCCTCTGGAGAGAAGCAGCCAGCACCAGACTCCTTCGGCCAGGGTGGGCACAACTAAAAGACTGAAAATTAAAGCATGGAATTCACATAAATTCTTATGCTCTCAGCGCATAAGTTCATATAAGCTTATCTATTATTACTATTACTACTAAGATTTTTGTTGCTGTTATAAACATTTATATGTAGGTTAATGTGAATCTCAAGAAGAAGTGAAGTCAGTATTTCAGTAATGAGGATAAAAGAATGTGATTTGATTAATATGCTTAATTGTCATTATAATAATGTCAGTGCAAAAATTTAATTAGAATGATCCTACAAATAGGCTTATCTTCTGTATCCAAAGTTTAATTTAAATTTTTAATTTCTGACACATATTCTTGACAAGTTTTATAAGATTCACCCTAATAAAACTTTCAGGATAATTGTCATTTGAAAATTTTGACATTTTAAGGCTTGCAAAGGTCATCATCCTATTTAATTATATTCTCTTTTAAATGTATTTTTCTAGGCTATGGACAAGAAGGTTATGGACAGGACCCTTACGCTGGCTCTCAGGGCGGTTACCAGCCCGAATACAGCCAACAGGGCGAAGGTGGCGGTTACAACCAAGGAGTGTATGGTCAGGGTGAGCCCACCTCCTTCTCCAATGAGATGTGAGCCCGGCTCTGCTGGCTGAAGCTCTGCACTGGTGAGTGAACAAGCTGTAAGTGTACAAGACGTTCCCTTTCAAAGTGGAACTTTGACGCTGCGTCATGTAGTTTACACTATAGGGAACATCTTGGTTAATATTGTAACGTCCGTTCCCTGATGGAGGAAATGAGACGTGGTGTCGATGACTGACACTAGGGGTTGCACTAGGGGTGGACATGCATTTTGAGCATAAACCGCCTTGGCAGTTTATATATGCTATACGAGTATGTAGCCAATGCTAAAGCAGTCTCATATGCATCAACCCGAGCAGCACGACCGAGGACACCATATGCCCCAGGAGCCTCTGAAATTGTTTCAGTGGAACCGCTGTTTTTACTCTGAATGTCTTTAGGGAGTTCAGAATTGTGAGACGTAAAGTCCACCTTAATCCTGAGAAAAGAGATGCTTTGCACTGGGGAGAGCTTGCTCTTTTCCCAGTTGACCTGAAGCCCCAAACGGTTAAAGTGTCTGAGCACCAACCCTAATCCTGATATGACACCATATTGCTCAGAAAATACAAACGGCTTGATTATTGAGAGTGTTTAGGCTTTTTGAGGATTAAAAAAAAGGAGTGAATTGATTTTTTTCATTGTATGGGCATACCTGTACAAGGTCCTCCCTTTTGGGCTGTCCCTGTCACCTGAGTCTTCACCAAAGTCGCAGAGGCTGCCCTTACCCCGTTATGACCAAAGCGAACCGAAGATGTTAGGATGTGCTTGTATGATAACATCTTGAATGAGAGCTTGTGCAGCAACTGATTCAAAAGTCGGAGGTCTAAGATTGGTCGTAACCAAGCGTGCCGCACAAGCCCTGAAAAGTGAAGCCAAAACGTTTCGATTGCCCCCCCGGTGGCCGGTCCTAGTATAGGTCATAAACCCCGCCTCCCCATGTTATTCAACGGCACGTGAGACCAACTAAACAATTCAATTACACTTCAAATACTTTTTTTCCCAAAGATGGTTTCTGTCATTTACTGTAGTTTTTAATCACGCTGATGTCATTTCAAGTGTTTGTTTTTAAAATAAGTTTGTTTTTAGTTAGTTATTAGATGCGGTGGTGGTGACGTCATGATTGACAGGTTCTCTGAGCGAAGTAGTCACTGAAGCACCAACAGACTTTTTTTCTGGATCTTCGGAGGACTGAGGAGATTGGAGCTTTAAATTTAATATCTAAATTTCTATAATTAATTTTAAAAAGTGCAGGAGCGTGTGCTTGCGATTGATTCTGCGAGAGTGAGGCCGGGCGTTGATTTCGCGGCTTTACTTCCTGCTCACGACTGCGCAGGTCTGGTCCCGAAATCACCTCTGCGCAGACTCAAGTACAAGATGTCAGCGCCATATCGGGACACTCGCGGCTTCACTTCTGACCAATGGAAGAGAGTGAAGGGGTGTCATCCATCTTTTTTTACAGTCTATGGTCGTAACCCACCGGCTTTCTTTGGTACGATGAAGTAAGGGTTATAGAAACCCTTCTTCATCTCGGATGGAGGGACAGGCTCTATTGCGTCCTTCGGCAGTAGGACTGCAGGTTCTGCACGCAGGACAAGGGCATCTTTGCCTGCCACTGAGGTGAAGAGAGCTCTAAACCTGGATGGGGGCCTGGCGAACTGAATCGCATAGCCAATTCTGAGCCAGTACAACCGATTGGAAAGTGCTAACTAGGCCTCCGAACTTTGTGGCTGTGGGTGTGGGTGTGGCTGTGGGTGCTCCGTAAGTTCCAACTGGAACCGGCCTGTGACGGTTGAGGAAGCTGCCTCTGAATGTGCTACACTGACCTGTGCAGTGATTTGGGTAATTCGCATCCACACATGAGTAGGCAGTAAGTCTGTCTATCATGTCCGGGCTGCGAACTATGTGACCCAGAGAATGGAGAAGTTGCTCTTTCTTTGAAAATGTGGGTACCGCTGCAACTTGGGTGAGTGGCGGAACAAAAAGAAAATGAAACCAAAGATTCTCCACCTTGTCCTCCACTGGGGGAAGGAGTTGTGCGTGCACATCATCCTGGGCAAGAGTAGCTTCTCTCATCTCTGCAGGCAGCTCGACGAGCAACTGAGGTGACTCTATCTCTTACAAGAAAAGAGAGTCGCCATCCCGATCATATTCTCGCAATAATAATATGAGCCACCCACGAAAGCTGTCTCAGCATGTTTTTGACCCAGACACATGAGACAAAGATTGTTGCCATCCGAGGCCAAGAGATATTGGCCACACCCAGAAACACTCAGGCGGAAAGACATCTTTACAAAGATGCTCTTCGTCTGTGCTTGCTCTTTTAGCGGAAAAGCTCTTTTAGAGGAAACTGCTCATTTATGCTTGCTCATTTATGCTTATGAAGCGTCCAAGTAGAACTTTCTCTGCACTTATCCATGCCCTTTTCCACAAGAAAGTCCACTGCAATGCGCTGTAACACCAGCAATTTGCTTCCTTTTCAGAGGATGAATGGATTGAGCTTGTGTATAGATGACACCCACTCGGCTCCAAAAAACAAATCTGAATGAGTGCTGTGAATATGCACAAACATAAAGGGCATAGCATAAACTGACTCCACGGATTACTTGTCAAGAGTTAGAGTACATTAACCCCAAGGGATCATCCAAAATGTAGACTGTATAGTGGTGGCATTCCCTAAGCCAATATCTTCCAATAGTAAGAGAAGATACCCAAGCTTCTAATCTCTATAGCAAGGTAAGACCTGGTAAGTCTAATAAAGGGAGTATATCAACTACAACCTTTGATATTACCACTACTTCCAAGGGGAGAATGCAAACTTCATGAGAAGGTATGCTGCGACAATGCTCCAGTTCAGGGAAGAAGGAGGTGGGAACGAGTGAACATTCAACGTAAAACTTTAATCACAAAATAAACAAACAACAAAACAAAACGACTGTTGGTCTCACGGACAACCGTCACATATAAACGCAATAAAACACAACATAAAGTCCAGGTCTGGTCCACTCTCATCCTTCACTGTCGTTACTCCTCCTTTTATCCTTCCGGAGCTCCTCCGTGGGACTCGAGCACTGCTCAGCAATATGAAACAAGCGACAGAAAGAGCGATTTCAGATTCCTGATTTTCCTAACCGAAAAAACGCAAACTAAGCGGCTCCTGAAGACAAAAAGGCTGATGACATGTATTACAGGTACCCTTTAATACTCACAGGCGCTCCACATGACATCGTGGACTGGCGTCTGCCAATGATTATTGGCTTTTGTTTACACATGCTTCAGACATGGGTCATACTAATGGTGTCAACCATAGTGTCAACTCCATGACGCAGCGCCGAAGTTCCACTTCGAAAGGGAACAACATATCAAACAAGTAACATTTTGGTATTTGATCTACTTTCAACATTTTTACTGCATACAGACGTACATGCATACCATACAGTGTGGTCCAAACATCTTTGTCCAATACTAAAGATGCATGCAACATTTTTTTTTAATATAATTTAATAAAATGTCTTACATTTTTTTTAATTATATTATCAGCATAAATATTTGAGTAAAAAGTATAATTGAAAAATCAACATGTATTTGTTATTTGACCTTTTTTAATGATGGCAGCTTTGAGCTGCATGCCTGAACTCCAAATATCTATTTTTTTTACTTTACAATCAACATTTTATAGGGGTCATATTCTAAATTTTACATTGTACACTACCGATCAAAGTTTTGGGTCAGTAAGATTTTTTTGTTTTTGATAGAAGTCTCTTATGCTCACCAATGCTGCATTTATTCGATCTAAGAAACAGCAAAACAGTAATAGTGTGAAATATTATTACAATTGAAAATAACTGTTTTCTATTTGAATATATTTTAAAATGTAGTTAATTCCTGTAATGGCAAAGCAAAACTTTCAGCATCATTACTGCAGTCTTCAGTGTCACATGATCCACATGATCAGAAGAAATCATTCTAATTGTTGCTCAAGAAACATTTCTTATCATAATCAATGTTGAAAACAGTTGTGTTGCTTCATATTTTTGTGGAAATCATAATACTTTTTTTCAGGATTCTTTGATGTTTAGAAAGGTCAAAAGAACAGCATTTAATTGAAACGTAATTTAATTGAAATTTTTGTAACATTATAAATGCCTTTACTGTCACTTTTGATCAATTTAATGTGTCCTTGCTGAATAAAGGTTTTGTTTAGCCATTATAACTTTTAAGAAAATGCCCAGTATGCTGAACCTTGTGTATATTGTACACTACACTGTGCACAGTACACAAAAAATAGTATGTATATAGTCATATATTTTTAAATTGAATACAATTATGATGTTTGTATTTTGTTGTTTTAACATAATTGATAAAAATTGTAAACATTTAAACGTGTTGTCTTTGCAGATCATAGCAAGAGGACGTCGTGTGATCAGCCAGCATGGAAACTACTAGCTATGTTTCCACTGTCTTCAGTTGGTTTAAAGGGAAGGGGGTGGGTGGTATTAAAGCACAAATAAGAAACATTTTCAGGGTTGATATTAACATCATAACCAAGAGGAAACAATTGGGACCCATGAGAAAGTGAGACCCTAATTTCAACATACTATTACATGGAATCCAGCTGGAGATTATCCATCCTATTATAATGAGGAAAAAAACTTGAATATGCTACCAAAAAAAATGAATGAAACCTATGATGTATATGTTATGAACGGGGAGCCGTTTGAATGAATTATAGTAATATTAAACTGAATGTGTTTTTCTGTGGTGTAAATATGAATTAATTAGATATACTGTATTGTGAATTTAACTTATTGTTACTTTTTTTGTGACTCCATTTGTAGTCCCCACATTTGTTTTTATTTCCCCTATATCTTACCACTTCACCACCTCAATCATTCAACCCATGGTAAGAGATCTGACCTTCAACCTCCTACTCAATGTTTTTTCTTTCTTTTTTTATTTGTGTGAAACATTTGAAAGGTTCGTAAGAACACAAAGTTTAAGTAGTATAAAATTTGGTCAAGTGTTAACAAAAGTCAGTAGTCTTAGATAAAACTGGTAGGGAGAGAAACCGAGTAACAGAAAACCTTAAAGTCCCCGTGAACCGGAAGTTGCAAACGAATTTTCTCCAGTGTTGTGACGTATTTCCGAGAAAAACGGAATACTAAATGAGGCAAAATAGTGGGCGTGGCTTTGTTCCAACTAGCACCTGATTGGATGTAGAAAAGAAGGTGTTTTCATTCAGCCTGTCTACTGTCAGTTGGAGGGGCGTGGTTACGGATGTTAAGCAGACACCCAAACCGTCAAACCTACGTCATCAGGGAAGGTCCTCCAATGCGGAGGGGAGGGGAAATTTCAGATTTTGATTAAAGATTATGAAGCCAAAAAAATGTTTTTTTGTTGGATTGACTTGCATGGATGAATTGTTCACCACAAAACGATCAATTTAGGCAAACAAAGTAAGTATGGTCAATTTTGAATTCATGGGGGCTTTAAGAACAAAGTTAAACAAAGTACAGGCCACTATTTTTCAAAATTTGAACAAATAATGCACATGCACAAGATATATTTCCTTTTATGTTTTGGTCCAAACCTTTTTAAGCTAAAGCACAAATTGGTGCATAAAAACGGCTTGTAGGACAACAGTGAACACTTCACTTCAGTCATGGGTGCTTAAGTACTTGATTGTTTTGGTTTTCTAGTTGTGTGAAACGCCACTGATGCTCTTATTCAGACATGAGTGTGAATGACCCCTTTATTTTCTTTCTGAAAAGATTTCCATGTGTTTTGGCTTTTTGTTCACACTGATATGTATATGTTTTATGCTGTCTCTGTCTCTCTGCCTGTACATGAAGGCCCATATTGCTTTCTTTCTCTCCCTCATTATACCATCTGATAATGCAAAATAAAATAATGTTAGAGAATGACGAGTGATGACATTAATGCTCCAGTGTGTTTGTTTTTAGTAGCGCTTTTATGAATTCCAATGTCTTACATTTTTGTAGGACCAGTACATATATAAAGCTATTGTCATTTCACTATGGAGTTAGAGAGAAGTGACAAGAACAAGGATAACTTTTGGTTAAAATTATTATCTTAAGGTTGAAACAGTTCGTGAATGCAAGATATATCATATCATATTCCTGATCATACTACAGACATTGTCGACGCCTTTTACGACCAGAAGAGGGAGATGTTTAGTAAATTACATGACCTTAATGGAAATTTGGCTATGGAAACTGACAAAAATAAATATGCAAAACAAATTAAAAAGATTGCATGTTAGAAATTAAAATAGAAAGTTAGTAAATAAGCCTACTTTATCAATGCAGTTATTGTGCTTTTTTTATATAGTACATTGCCGTCTTTTTTTTTTCAGCTTGAACAAATTAAATTAGCCAAAAATTGCAGTAAATACATTTATAATGTTACAAAAGATTTTGATTTCAAATAAATGCTGTTCTTTTAAACTTTCAATTCATCAAAGAGAGTGTATTATGGCTTCCACAAAAATATAAAGCAGCACAACTATTTTCCACATTGATAATAATAAATGTTTCTTGAGCAGCAAATCATCGAATGATTTCTGAAGCATCATGTGACACTGAAGACTGTCACGAGTGAGTGATGATGCTGAAAATTCAGCTTTTAATCAGAATAAATTATATTTTAAATATATTCAAATAGAAAACAGTTCTGTTAAATTGTAATAATGTTTCACAATATTACTGTTCTACTGGATTTTTATTAAATGCGGTAGTGTGTGTACCATCTGTGTTACTATTATTTGACTGTTTATATTCACTGTAAACCTGAATTAGTGTTTCTTTTAGATTAGTGTATTTAATTAGGGAACTTTAAGGAAAAGTTTATCTAAAAATAGCTTGCATGAATGTTAGAATTGCTACAGTATAGTATTTTTTATCCATTCAGTGAGGGAACAATGATTGATGTCTTGATGGTTTCTTCTTATATTTTCTATGCATGTGTGTTTTATTTGATCATTTCTGAAATAGACCTTAAACCAGAAAAGTGTGGTTCCCTGCAGCCTACCCTTCCTGCAAAACATTTGTTATGATCACTCACTTGTGTTGCCAAAACAAAGCCCTCTGTGTATGTGTACGTGTGTGTGTGTGTGTGTGTGTGTGTGTGTGTGTGTGTGTGTGTGTGTGTGTGTGTGTGTGTGTGTGTGTGTGTGTGTGTGTGTGTGTGTGTGTGTGTGTGTGTGCCCACATGGTGATCTGCTAGGGAGAGCCGTCAAAAGTGACCCAAAGTTCTTATGGCACAGAATATTTCCACATTGTTACCTATAAACTATAGTTTCCATGAGATCTCTCTCTCTCTCTCTCTCTCTCTCTCTCTCTCTCTCTCTCTCTCTCTCTCTCTCTCTCTCTCTCTCTCTCTCTCTCTCTCTCTCTCTCTCTCTCTCTCTCTCTCTCTCTCTCTCTCTCTCTCTCTCTCTCTCTCTCTCTCTCTCTCTCTCTCTCTCTCTCTCTCTCTAAATCATGTAAATCTACTCCCTGTAAATCATGAGAAACACATTCCAGATGTGAAGCATTATTTCCCCATTCAAACCCATTTGTCACAACTCTTCACTGCTCCTTCTCCCTCTGCTCTTAAACTGTAAACAAATGAGCAAGAAATGAAGGGGAGGAAAAATCTATCTATTTATTTATTTATGTGCCCTGGAAATAAATAAAATATATATTATATTATATTATATTGTATTGTATATACTGTAACCATAGTATTATTACCATAGTACCATATCCAAATAGCCATGGTAATACACACATATAGAAAAAGATAAACTAAACTTAACATAGGCCTAGTATACATAATATAATAGCCTATAATATATTATAATATAACATAATATAATATAATATATTTACAAAGGGGCAAATGTGGTTTCCTCTTTGAAAACGTAATTAGTTATGAACGTAAAACTGTCTTTCAAAGAAAGCTCAGCAGTCAGAACTGCTGAATGAAAATTTCCACAGCTCAGTCACAGCAATGAATTTTCCGGCTGTGTGTCAAAACCGGTCAAACCCTAGCGCGCTTTTTTACTTAGACAGCATTTGTGGGCAGTTCTAAGCCGGAATACTGTCAAACTGCTGTTTAGGTAGGAAGCTCACTAGCTTTTAAAACTAGGGTTGTAGAAACTCTCCCTCTAGTGGTTTTAATTTCCGTCTCCGTGATTTACCCTCAAGAAAGTGCTACTATACTAAAGCCTTAGCCAACGCCCCGCGCACTCACTCTTTCCTTTCGCAGTAACCGAGTCGCGCACTCGCAGGAAGTTCATGAAGAAGCTGAAAGCTGCGTCAGAGTTCACGGATTGAATCAATAACTACTCTTTCATTTTCACGCTTTCAACGTTTCAACGTTCACTGTTTGCTGATACGGACACTAGGCTTCCTAAGAAGGCGTTATTTCATAGGAATAACTTACATCTGCAGAATGGCAGAAACTGAGGGGAGTCCGTTCGGAGGCTGTTTGGAGAAACTGAAGAATTATGTGCGAACTCGGAAAGGAACGATACTGGCTGCTGAAATAGTAAGTTATTAACATGGCTGTGGCTTTAATTGTTCTACAATTTAATTTTTGTAAGACGCTAGCATAACATTGCGAGAAATAACGTCCGTTATTCATTTGCTTCATCGAAAGTGTGATACGCAAAATGCTGGGTATGATATAAATGAACTGTTGCTATTGCCATGGAGACGCTCCCACTCGTTAAGTAAAAATAATTCACCTGTTGATTCACACACTTGAGTCAGAGAAAGTGAGAGATTTTTTTTTTTAATAGACAAGACTTACTGTATGAATATTTACATTACTGCATTTGTTTTTATTTCATACATCCAGTGTTCTTCTGAGTCTGATGACTTAACGTTAGCTGCTACCCCCAAACAGGAGCAACGTTAGAATTGTTACGGAGCACTTTTGAAACATGCTATAGAAATAAACTCATGTTTATAATCAGTTCTCATAAAGTTACCAACCCGTTAGTCATATGTTAAGTATGTTTTTGAGCTATTAAAATGAGACCCCAAACAGAACATATGGGGTAAACATTGTTTAATATTGTTTAAAATATCTCAAATGTTCACTTAAAAAATGAAAATTGTGTCATTATTTACTCACACTCGTGTTGTTCCAAACCTGTATGAGTTTCTTTCTTCTGTTGAACACAAAAGAAGATCATTTAAAGAATGTTTGAACCAGACAGCTGACAGCACGCATCGACTTTCATACTATTTTTTCCTACTATGGAAGTCAATGGGTGCTGTTTAGTCACCAATATTCTTTAAAACATCTTCTTTTGTGTTCAACAGAAGAAAGAAACTCATACAGGTTTGGAACAACATGAGTGTGAGTAAATGATGAATTAAGTGAATTATCCTTTTAACTCTTAACCTTTGACCGTAAACCACATATACTTTCTACTTTTAAAGCTAAAAAAAATATGTGAAGGAAGTGTCATATTTGTCATCCAAGCAGCTGTGTCCAGTATAACAAAAAGTGACTAAGATGAAGTATGGAACGTAAATTCAATTATACAACTGCAGGAATTCAGTACATCGACCTCAAAACATTCAAGTATTTCTTATTGTGAGAATATGGCTACAAGTAACAGAAGTGGGTGAAAAGAGTATTAATAGTGCTGTTGAATGAAATACCTCCCACCACGGAGCCATTTGAAACTTCACACTGACACATAAGTGTGTGTTTCTGGGAGGAGGTGGCATGGAATGCAGACCATGTGCTTGATGGTGTGAGGTCAGAGGGCATGAGGTTTCACCCATCTGCTGGAAAGATAGAGGACAGCCTGGTGTGTCCGTTATCTTGTGTCAATCCTCAGAAAGGAGAAGTTGCGGATGATATGGCTAAAGATACAATGATTTTGGAACTTGGCTGACAAAATTCTATACCAAATAACTAAATTGAAAACAAACTCTATCTATCTATCTATCTATCTATCTATCTATCTATCTATCTATCTATCTATCTATCTATCTATCTATCTATCTATCTATCTATCTATCTATCTATCTATCTATATATTTAGTTCATTTAAATTCTACTTCCTTACATTCTAATTAAAATTGCTCTCCATCTTGTATGCTAGTTCAAATTGAATAATGGAATTTGAATTTAACATTCACAATTCTAAATCTAAATCAGAGTCTTGGAACAGATTGAAATTTAAACGATTATTCACTGAAATTCTCAAATCTCATTCGCACTAGTGCATAATAGTAATACTTGTCGGTCAAGACATCAAAATAGTGAAAAAAAATTGTGTCAAGTTGTCAACGTTTTTTTTTTTTTTGGAGCTTGACAGAACTTGGTCACTATATGCTTCCACTGTAATCTGTAAAACTTCCGTAGAATTATGAATGAAAGAACGCAAATAAAACAGGTCTAGAACGACATAAAGATGAATAAATGTTGACACAATTTTAATTTTGGTTTGAACTAACTAACCTATAGCTGGTAGCGGGACACTCAATGTGCTTTTTTATTGCCTTATTGCCCTCACATATCACATATTTTAGTAATAATCATAAATTAGGTATCATTCGAAAGCTTAAACACTCAAATATTTATTCTGTGAAAACCATTTTGTTAAACCAAAATTGGACAATAAGTTACCATGCATGTAAACAGTACTTTAAATTCTTTTAGCTGGCTCAATTTTATTTATTTTTTTGGGAACAAACTTGGTTAGACATATGGCTTTGATTTTCTAGCCGTTTTACAGTCCAGATTATTTTGTAAAATATATATTTTGTATGAAATATAAATAGCTTAAGAGTAAACTTAAACCTATAGCTAACTTTTTTACGCTTTCACATTTTTGAAGTGCTTTCCCTTCTGCAATAATCTGCTGACGAGTGTCTTCTTTAAAAAGCCAAACCAACCTTATGTCTGTATTTGCAAGCATTCATGAATCACAACCGTTGAAGTTCAGATCTGCTCAAATTGGGGGTGACAGTAAACAGGTTAAACTAAAACAGGCATTTCTGTAATAGGTCTTAGTATTCTAAAAACTTTTACAGCAAATTAATAACATGGCTATGAAATTAGCAAATTTGTTCTGGGTGAATGATTCAAGCAGGAGCTGACAGAGGGATTTTAGAGACATAAACTCACCATGTCTTTGCATACAATACATAAACTATTAGAGAAAACAGTAATAAAGGCCTGAATGATAAACCAGCACCCCTCTATAATTTATTATTATAATGAATCTTATATGCCCAACTTACTGTCTCCTGCATAAATATGACATCCGCATCTTATCAAAGCAATCTGAATTTGTTGCTTGGCTATATCTCCCGATCAGACGATGGAATGACGGCCTTCCTTGAGAAGCCATTGACTATTAACTAACACAGAGTACTGTGGTTCCAGGAGCAATAATAGCATGTTATATAACTAATTGCTGGTTAAGGTCATGGACGTTGGACACTCATGATACACTCATTTTCAAGAGTTTAGTTTTGTCATGCAGACACACCCACAGCTAAACATGTAGAGTCACGGACTCACAGTCACTTAAAATGACACGCCTAGCGTCTTACAGTAAAGGTGATGATATACAGGGCAACTTTTTGAGCAATGTTGCTGGGCAATGTTGCCGTCAACGGGCAACCAGATGAGACACAGGGCCCACGACCTATCTAAATAATCCAGATAGAAATGTATTCCCCATTTTCAATGTTGTTGTCCCAAACAACAATCGCTCGGCAAGATTGCCCAGCAACATTGCTCAAAAAGTTGCCCTGTGTATCATCACCTTAAGAAACCATGCATGCTGGGACTTTTACTGATGTACTGTATAGCTCTATTATATTTTGCTGTTTTGGACCGAAACAAACACATGCAAGAATGTGTGCTCTAGTGTGACGTGAACAAGCTGTAGGTGCCTTGCCATCACTAAGTGTGTCTTTGTGCGCCTTTGCCAAATGATCAGTGTTTGGGTGTTGAATATTCTTCATTGGAAAGTGGTTTGTATATTTCACTCGTGTTTTATTATTATGTGTATGCTGTATTGTTAAGATGTTAGTTGATGTTTTTCGTGTATGTGCTTTTACAGTAGGTATTTTGTATTTCTGGTGTTTCCTCATTTCTCTGTTCCCCACGTGACCCTGTTCAGCTCGAGCCCTCAGTAGTGGGTGTTCTTAAAGGGGCAGCGCCGCATCCTTGAATAGAGCTTCATTGTGCGCTGGCTGGAGTTCAGTCTGCATGTGTGAGGCTCATAGAGGCAGTTTGTGCCAGTCCCCACAACTCATAAAGCTCTGATACATATGTGCATGAAGGAGGAGTGCCTGATGACATCATGCTGCCCGCTCCTCCTCGCCGCCCACAGGCGTAAAGACTCGCCTCTAGTTCAGTCAAGTAGATTTCATGATTAGTACATTACTTTGTAGTGCTCTAGGAAAACTTTTCAGCGTAAGATTAAAAAAAATTTTTTTTTTAGATAATATAATTAAGTCTGTAAAGCTACTGCTTTTCTTTAGGCATGTTCATGCATACTTTATATATAAAATAGTGTAATAAAATTTTTTTTTGCTTTAAAGCAGACCTATTATGCAAAATTCACTTTTACATGGTTTGAACATAAGTGTGTGTCTGCAATGTGTACACAACCACCCTATAATGGTAAAAATCCACCTACTCCTTTTTTCATAAACAGTGTCTCAAAGCGAGTCATTCTGGTTTTCTATACATTGTGACGTCACAGTGTAACAGGCTCCGCCCACGACAGGTGACAGATCTGGTCTATTTAGCTTAGCTCCTCCCCTGAGTGAGCTGTACAATCTCCTCGCTAGAGCAGCTAGTGTGGAAACACAAGAATGCCTCCACTAAACAGATCCGCTACAGATCTACATGTTCTGTTGTTGGCTGTATAAATGAAGACAGAAAGCGTTTTTCCATTCCACCGCGCTACTTTTCCATTGTGCTAGATTAACGTGTTTGATCGTTGCGCTCCCGTCTCGCTTCTTTTACAGCGTCTCGCACAGGAAACTGCGTTCTCAAAATGCTGCTCTCAAGTTAAAAGAAGTTTAAAAGAAGAGGGGCGGGGAGCATCAACATATTTGCATTTAAAGATATACACACTAAAACAACTTGTATTTGCTTCCAGCCAAAAAGGGGCATTTTGGGCATGGACCTATATAGATAATAAATGATCTGTGGGGTAATTTGAGCTGATACTTCACAGACACATTCTGGGGACAGCTAAGACTTATATTAGTGTAACGAATAGGCAGGGACGAAGCAGAGAGAGAATCCACATGCAAGCACAACTTTAAAGGTCCCATGACATGGGGTTATTTTATTATTTTATAATGCTTCCTGGGTTGCCCTTATAATGTTAGTATGTTTTTTAGATCAAAAATAGTCATAATTTAGAAATAAAAGGCATTTTTCCTAGCCTGATTTTAGCCTCTGATTTGAACGCTCTGTTTGAAGGGGCGTGTCTGCTGTGGGATTCAGTGTAACAGCCACTGCTGTGATTGGCTGACATGCTTGCATATGAAATA